GTTGAGTGAAAAATTAAATCGTGACTCCCCACCCCCCGAAACACACCCAGTCACACACTTGCACACGTGTCTTTGCTCGCTCCCCTCTGAGTTCTGGCACACGCTGGGCCCCACTGACAGGACCTTAGCTGCTCTCCTCCCGGCCCCTCCCGGGCCCTCTGTCTGCCAGATTCCCCGAAACCCTTCGCATCCTGCCCAGGGCAGCTGTCCTCTCCTTTCTGAGGTCTCCCTTGACCTCCCCAGGCAGACGCGGGACCCGTGTGGCCCACAGTGCCTGGGCAGTGCCTGCTGACCTGCGTCGCAGCATGGATCCCCCGGGCTGACATGTCTGTGTGTTTTCTCACACCCAGCGGGCTCCTCCAGCACCCAGAATACAGGGCTCCCCAGGGCTTAGACTCACTGAGACTGGATTCCTGCCTGGGGACCGAGTACTGGCTGTGTGACTTTATACAAATTGCTTCTTTCTGGCCTCAGTTTCCTCATCTGTGCAACAGGGATCATAACACCTCCCAAGCTAGATCATAGGATATGGATAAGAATTCCTCAGTTCTGGGTCAGCTGGGTGAGAGGATGGCGAATGGGAGAGCGTGTTATCAGAGGAGGAGAAGCCCTCTCTGGTGGTGACTGAACAGAGATCTGAGTGGGCTGAGAGAGGGCCTCCCGCACCCGACCCGTGTGACAGCCAAGCTCGATCTCCGTGAGCTTCACCAGCGGCTGAGGCCGAGGCCCCGGACTGCTCTCGAGCGCGGGGCTGTTATCCAGCTAATATTCTAACGCCGTGCTGGGTGTCTTGCCAGCCAGGCTGGGCGCTGATTCTCTGGAAGTGGGCCCCGGGGGGTGAGCTGAAGTGAATCAAGGTCGGGGAGGAATAGGAGACACCTGCGGAAGGGGCACGACCAAACCCCAGCGCAGGCCGCCCGCGCGCCGAGGGCCAAGCACCGGCCCTGCTGTCATTCGCAGGCAGGACGCAGCGCTGGCCTTGTCTGTGTTCAGCACTCGCTGCCAGGCTGGCCTGGGAGGCCGAGTGAGAGGTCTGCATCTGTCTCGTTCTGTTTCTGTCATTCAGCAAGAGGGGCTCTGGGCCCGCGCGGGGTGGTCCAGGCAGTGGGAGCTCTGGGTGCGAGGCAGAAACCTGGGCCGGTCGGCAGCCCCTACGTGGGAGACCAGGGACAAGGCCCTCGCCTCTCAGGGTCATTTCCTCGTCCGTGGATTGCAGGAGCTGCGCCAGCTGTTTTCAGACATTCCTTATTTTCAGAAATAGTTGTTTAAGCAAGGTATGATTGGGAATCCAGACATATTACCAAGAATGCTGAGGGGGGATGAGGCCTAGCCACCACGGCTTCCCACTGCACCCCCAACACACACGCACGCACACACACAGGTGTGGCCCTTCGGAGTCACTGTTCCGTGATTCAATGTTATGTCCACAGAGCCCAGAGTCCTTCCACAGTATTAAGCTGAACCACATGAAATGACTGAGATTTAATAATTTTTGACAGGCAAAGATGGTCAATTCCATATTACAGCCTCATTGTTTCCTTTGCAACAGTGGCTGAGTGTGCCCACCCAGGAGCAATTTGCCTGGAGTCCAGCAGCTCAGCTGAGGCTCTGTGTGGCACCGCACAGGACACTTGGCCTCCGTGTGCCTCCCCTGTAAAATGGGCAAGCGGAGGGCCCTTCCTCGCCAGGTGGGCCGCTGAGAGGCCGGAGGAGAGCCTTGGGGTCAGGGCAGGGGTCTAACACAGAGCCTGGCGCGCTGCGCGGAAGCCCTCCGTGAGTGTCTCAGAGAGAAGACTGTAACGATGGCCTCTGGGCCAGACTCGGGGGGTGGTGCTCCCTTCTTCTCCTTTTGGCCCCAAACGGAGCATGTGGCCGGGGCAGACGGGCAGCAGGCCCAGCAGGGCTTCCTGCTGAGCCATCCTGGCCAGCTTGAACCACCAGGCCTCCCACCTCATCCCTGGGCAGTGGACAAGCCCTGGCCTGGGCCTGGGGACGGCAGCAGAGAGCCATGAGCGACACTCATCCCCTGCCTGATCTGGGGGCTCCCTCCCCAGACACCCCCGAGCCTTCCCCACTAAGTGGAAGATCCTGGCATCTGTCAGCCTGGATTACCAGGCAGGCCCGTCACGTTAAGCTGGAGCTCTGGCGCCGGCAGCCCCCACCTTGTGCTGCCCCTTGATCCTGGCCGTCGTGTCCCCTCCCTTGTCACCACAGCCATGGGGAGACTGCAGGCCCCGCACAGTAAGGCAGGAGGCTCGGGGGAGAGACCAGGAGGAACCACAGGACCTCCTTGCAGAGAGGAGCCTGTTTGGCACTCTGCGTCCTCTGGCTGAGCGTGGCGGCGCAGAGGGGGCAGGTCACACACAGAAGCTCCAGGTGGGAGTTCCTTTACGGCAAACTACAGAAGCGTGGCGTGTGTTCCTGAAGGCACACAGAACAGACACCCTGTTCACGTGCTGTGAACACCTACCACACGGAGCTGAGGTTTCTGGAAGCAGCTAACCCAGAACTCGCTCCCATTGTTGCTATCAGTGATACTATCGATTCTGTAGATTCCACCAGCAATTTACTCATGTCACTTACAGAGCATTTTTCACTTCCTGCCATGTAGGATTTTTGAGTTTTGAGTGTGATGTGTTACAAGGGAAAGAGCACTAGCTTTGCAGTTCTGGCCCTGCCTCTTATAGCTGGGCAACCCTGGGCCAGTGACATAGCCTCTCTGAGCCTGACTTTTCTCTTTGGAAAAGCATTGCGTGCTACAACCTATTTCACAGGGTCGTTGAAACGATTACCTGAAATGATGTATGAAGAATAACTGACACAGAGTAAGTGTCTAGTGAATATTTGTGGGGAGAGTTCCTAAGGGCAAAGTCACATTTTTCATCCATTACAAGCCTTAACTCAAACATATCCTTCAGAACTTTGAACCCGATTATGTCACGGCCATTGGAAATCATTTTATTTCTTCCCATTTCTTTTAGACTAATGGCAAGAATTGTTCTTGGGGCTGCCTTCTACCTGCCCTGTCACTTTATCTCCCACCCTGGTTCCCATCCATCTCAACCACACACCTGTGAATCCTTCATTCTTACCTCATTTACTCCTACCGCAGGACCTTTGCATATGCTGTTTTCTCTGACTAGAACATTCTTCCTGATCCTCTTGGCCTAGTAAACCCCTTCTTACCCTTCACAGTCATCCAATTCATATTTCCTAAAAAAAAAAGAAACACCCTCTCCAGACCTCCCCAACCATGTTGAATGCCCCCTCGCACTATACTCTCTCCTAGTGGGCACTTACTGCATTTTAACATGAGATGATTTCTTATCTACCTCCTCCGTCTAGTCCAGCTATAATATATGAAGGCAGGACCTGTGCATGATCTTGCTCACCAACTGGAGTCCCCAGGACATTGCGCAGAGCTCAGTAAATGTTGCTGGAAGGGTGAGCGAGGGATGAACTGGAGGGCAAAGCATCTAACAGAGCCCAACCACGCACTGTCAGTGTTTTTCAAATGGTGTAACCAGAGCCCAGATGGGGCAGGTTAATTGCCCACGGTCACACAGCAGGTCAGTGAGTGGTGGATCTGTGATCAGAACCCGGGTCTCTCAGTTCTTGCCATCCGTAGGCTTATGCTATAGCCCCATTATCCATAACTGGGGTGGGAGTGGGGGGCTCACAAAGACTCCCCTGGTACTCCGAGGACCCCAGGCTCTCCCTGAATCCACATCTCATGCCACGTCTAGTCCCCAGGCCATCCAGCACCACATCTGTACATGACTCCGATGCCTCTGAATTGTTCACTTAATTCGAAAACTCCCTCAAATGTGAGCTATGCGCCTTCAAGACTGGGCTGGGGGAATTCTGTGAAAGGTTTTATTGTTAGGGCAACCAAGCTTGACGAAAGGTAACACTGTTGCCACCATCTTCCCTTCACCCCAGGTGGAAACAAATCCAGAAACTGAAATCATAATCGATCACCAGATTTCAAATCAGTCAGGGCTCAGTCGCAAGAGATGACTTTCTTGAGAGGAAAATAGCTTCGGTCCGTTCATTTTCTTGTTTCTGTTAAAGGACCACCCCTGCGTTTTATGTCTGTGTTGAGTCCGCCCCCTCCTCACGCACTTTCTCGGGCCAGGCCACCCAGCTGCAGTCAGAAGAGCCCTTGAGCTCAAGAGGAAGTCCGGAGCACGAAGGTGTCTTTGGTCCTATTTGCCAGGAAGAGCTTCATGTGTAGGGAACTGTTCACCTGCCTGTTTGTCTGACCCGTGGGGAAGAAAACATTTACTGCATATTTACTCATTCCTTCAACAAATACTTACTAAGTGCCCATTATCCATAAGATGACCATATAATGTATTGTCCAAACTAGGACAGTTTTGATGTGAAAGTGGACATTACCTGGTGAGTACACCAGGGCAGCAGGTACAAACCAATATTTTCCCTGGTAGACAGGATGTTAATAGGTGCCCTACACGTTAATGGACAGATTGGGGCTGTTAGAATCTCGGGTGATTACGCTTTCCCAAATTGCCCTTGAGTACTGAGGACAAAACCAGGATGGGTTGTAGACCTCCAAAGCCATGAAGGGCACATTTTGATCAAAGCCAAACTAGACATTTCTAAAACTTTCCCACCCACAGCTTCCTTCTTAAAATAGATTTTGTATGTAAAAACACAAGCAAACAGCTTGGAATAGCTCTGGAAGCTAATGACCCTGCAGTGGGTTCTAAGTTCCTCTGAAGTGAGGCCACCTAGGGGGGCCTGGAAAAAAGTTCAGAACCTATAAAGGATGAAATTGTCCATCAGGGCTAAGTGATGGTGATACATTTTGAGAACCAAGTAAAACTAAAAGGAACAGAAGGGAATGGGATTTCTCTGACCTAGAGATTCTTGAATGTGACTATGACTTTGTGTATGATGACAAAAGACATAAGCATGCCCGCGCTTCCCCTCGCAAAGAGCTTCGGTTCTCAACGGCTGTTCCCCTCACCTCCTAGGTGCCGGTGCTGAGACCCGTGGACCTGATGGTGGAGGCCATCCCGCGAAGGGTGTTCGCCAATGCCCACACGTACCACATCAACTCCATATCAGTCAACAGCGACTACGAAACCTACATGTCAGCTGATGACCTGAGGATTAACCTATGGAACTTTGAAATAACCAATCAAAGTTTTAGTATCCTTTCCCTGCAATGACCATTTGGCTTGAATCTTGAGTGTTCTGGTGTGAGCAGGCTTGGCGGTGGGGGCTTGGGAGGTGTGTGGGGATGGGAATGGGACAGAAAGGAGCCAGTCACAACTGCCACACCTGGCACTCGTGGAGAACTGTTCCCTTTTAAACTACATTGACATTTTGTCTTTCATCCTAACAAAGTTAGGGAAGTATTCGATTACACGTAGTGGGCCAGGACTAGCTCTGGAGTGAAACTGTGAATCAGTTCTTCATACAGAGGCATTTATGTGTCATGAATTAAAATCAGATCAAACTATAAAACAAGACCCTAGAATTCAGTTAGGGTTCCCTCCTCTTGTTAAAGGATTCATAAACAGCCTGGATGCACCACAGGTACACAGGAGATTGTTTTCATTGTATCATAATAGTGAAAATAATGCTGCCATTTATTGAGTTTCAATGCAGCCTTGATGCACAGATTCTCCTGTTGAAAAGTACACATGTCATAAATGTGCAGCCTGGTGAGTTTTCACAGGCAGAGAACACCTGTGTAAACAGTATCCAGATCAAGAAACCAAACTCTATTAGCAATCCCCAAGCCCCCCCTTCTAGTCCCTACAAACTAAGGGTACATTTGCTATAACAGCCCCATAATGTAAGGATTATTATCTCCTACTTAGCTAAAATTTAGAGCAGTCAAGAACATCGCTAAGTGAGTGAGTCAATTTTCACCCCACTATATTGACCCTCTATTTAGTAATGCAGACCAGTCATTCATTCGCTGCCTATCACATGAGTCTTCACTTGAATTCCCAGTCTCAGCTAATGGTTTCACCACCCAGGCAGCTGAGCAGCTGACCCAGGAGTGAATATTGATTCTTTTCTCTCACTCCCCAGCCTCCCAGCCCCAACCTGATCTATCCATGAGCCCTGCCAATGCTTCTTCTGACATACATCTCAAATTAACTCATTTCCCTTTACCTCCACTCCTACCAGCCTACACTACGATAGGTCACTGCTCTCCTGTGGGACTACAATAATCTGTCTTGTTTCCATTCTTTCTTTCTCTACTACGTAATACATGTTCCCTTAACAGTCGGAGTTGACCTTTCAACATGTAATTCAGGTATCATTCCTCCCCTGCTTAAAATACTCTAGTAGCTTCCCACTAAACTTAGAACAAAATGCAAGTTTCTTGCCTTGAACTATGTACTACATGATCTGTGCCCTGCCTGCTGCTTTGATATCCTATTGTACCACTCTCCCCCGGTTCCCTCTGCTTCCACCAACTAACCTCCTTTCTGGTCTGGGTAGACCTTGGTCTTACATCCGTTCTTGCATTTCTATTCCCTCTTCCTGGAATACTCTGTCCCAGAGTTCACCTTGCTAACTCCATGTCATCCTTCGGACATCAATCTAATGTCACCTCCTCAGAGTCACTCTCTCTCGTTATCTGCCTAGCAGCCCATATGAACCTCTATTCCTATTTTCTTTATAGTTCTTACCACTATTTGAAATTGGTTTTTAGTTGTATATTTTGGGTTTCCCTATATTCAAATGTAAATTCTATAAGCAAAGGGACTGTGTATGATCCACTCCTGTGTCCCAGTTCCTACAACATTCTGAGAAATAGAAGGTGCCATTTTGGTTGGCCATGTCAAGTTTGAAGTACTGTAGGTCACCAAAGTGGAGATAGCCCGTAGACAGTTGATCGTGAAACCTAACCTGGAAATTTTACTTTACTAGCATATTCGTTATTTTAAAGCTCTGGATGCTCTAATATAAAATATACCCCATCTTGGCTCAAGCACATAAAAGATTATTTGGTTTGTGAAGTCCAGTAATGATGATCCCCTTCAGCAGGCAAACCCCTCCAATCTGTGATTCAGAGATCCAGGCTCCTTCCATCTTGCAGCTCCCCAAGGTCACCATGCTTGCCTGCTTCAGGTTAGCAAAAGGGGAAGGTGTGGAAAACCACACATGTGAGGTTGCTATGAGCCAGGCTTTAGAATAGCATGTATTCCATTGGCCGGAACTGAGTCACATGGCTACCTCTGCCTGCAAGGCAGTCTGGGAAATGTAGTGTAGCCATGCACATAAGAAAACAGCTGGTTTTGGTATAGCTAGCTAGTCTCCGCCACAAAAGACTCCTCAGTGATCCCCAAGACTTGCCAGGGAATGCAGGCTTAAGTGGGTGGTGGTGATTATGCAGCAGCTAAGAACTGACGGTGAGGACCGTGACTGGCATCTTCTGTTGATTGCAGAGCAGACTCAACATAGTATCCAAGCCTGGGTGAACCTGCCTACAGATTTTGCCTGGAAATGCAGCTGCTAATAGAATGAGTGTGGGTGGTGATTCCCTTTCTTCCTTGATATCTATTTCATGAGCCAGAAATCTGCTTGGACGCAGCTGCTGTCACTCTGAGCTTCTGCTGTCCCCAGTCTAGGTGACACATTTTCTGGATTTTGCCTCTAGGCCTTCAGGGGGAAAGAGGTTTCTTTAGGCATTTGGGGAGACAGATGCCTTGGGGAGAATGCAAAGGGGAAATATGAACAGTGCAATTTAGGTTATATTCTGCAGATGTGTGACAGCCTGCCAGATGCTGGCATGCAAATGAGACTCTGCCACTCACCCTGAAAGCAGCCATATGTAAAATAATCATTGTCATCATGAGAATGATGCTAACTGATGTCTATATAGTTCTTTTCAACCAGACCGCCCGAAGCACTGAGCAGCCTGTGCTAACTGGGGCCCTTTCTTCTCCTCACTGAAATGCAGCCACCTCTGGGTTAGGAAGTGGCTACCTTTCAAAAGAGCCTCAGAAAAACACCAACCACCAGGCAGGTTTTATATAGGGTGTTCAGCACCATTTCTGCAAAACCTCTTATTGACTAAGGAGGCCAAGGAAACATGGTTCAAGATAGAACAGCGCAAGGCTCCCAAAGTGTGGAACGAGTGCCACTGAGGCGTCAGGCCAGGTGCTTCTGAGCAGCGTGTGGCCTTTTATGTTTTCATGATTATGTACCTATGATAATAAGTAGTAGAAAATACAACTATCATATCAGTCCTTTAATTTCACAGATACTGAAAATCCACTTAAATTATGAAGTACATGTAAAGAAAAGTAAATAATAAGACAACTGGTCTTTTGATGGCTTAAAAAAAAAGTCCTGACTTGTAGTGCTGGGTATTCAGTGTGACATTGGTGTTGTGGTTGAGAAAATGGGCTTCGGAGTCCAACAAGCCCAAGTTCTCACTCAGCTCTACTGCTCACTGGCTGCGCAGCATTGACATGTTTCTTGATTTAGCCATGTCTCTATTTCATGATCGGTAGAGAGGAGCTTTGTCAAAGAGGATTGTGAGAATTTTTGTAAAAGGTGTTTTATATATATAAATTATTCATATATTTTTAAATGCTTATACTTTAATGTATATATGTGGATAAATTATATATATAATGTATATCCATATATGTATATACACCCAGTGTGTGTGTGTGTGTGTGTATGCATGCCTAGGGCAGGACCTGGCCAAGTCCTTGCTAAACAGGAACCAAAACAGTCATGATTATCATTGAAAGGGCAAGGAAACTAGAAAAGGTGAATGTTAGAAAAGTAGATTCTATTCTGTTAATTTGTAATATGGGTCATCCTCGCAATTCTAGACTCCTCCTTCGGGTCTGCAGTTGGGTGGTCTTTGCAAGATGCTGTTCATTATCCCCTGGGTACCCTATGTTTGCAGAATCTCTGAGATCCAGGGCCTTGTGTTTAGCACCAGATCAGAGTGAGTCATGCTTAGCCTCATGGTACCTGGTCATGAATCCTTCCATCCATAGCCAGTCTGTCCCTGTCTTCTGTAATAGGCTCTGGCTTAAAGTGGTCAAACTTTGGCCTTAATGGGTTGACCTCATCAGGACAATCATAACTCAGTTCCTGATTAGTTATATTCTAGGGCAAGAGGCAGCCCTAACTTCAATAAAGGAAAATTGCTACAAAAAGGAGTTCCTTCTTTATAAAGACTATGGCACACCTAGGATCGTTTGAGTTTCTTCTCAGGACCAACAGTGAGTTGACCTGGGCTCTTACCTAGTCCAATATGGGACCTTTAAAGAGACCCATATCAAGTAAAAGTAAAGATGCAGCCCTTAACAGCCCTTAACAACTGTACACTGGGCACCTAGTGTGTGCCAGGCACTGCAGTAAGCCATGGGAATACAAAAGTGAACAGACACAAATTTTCCTGCTTTCAGAATAGCATTCATCAAATAATCACTCATGAGCATATAATTCCAAATAAAAATAAGTCCTGTGGAGAAAAGTAATACGGTTCTGTGAATGCAAATTTTTAAAGCCTGGTACAGCCTAAGGAATAAAAGAAGTCAGGCTTTGGCTGAGGAACTGATTATTGAGTTGAGATCTAAAAGAGAAAGAGTACGAGCTAACTTGGCAAAGAGGTGTGAAGAGATTGGCCCAGCATGTACAAAGGTCCTGCGGCAAAAGGGAACATGACATGTTGGAGGAACTCTAAGAAAGCCACTGTACCTGGAGCCCAGAGAGTGAAGTTGAGCACGGTGTAAACAAAGCTGGGAAGGTCAGCAGAAGCCACACTACAGGAAGTACAGTCTCTGGGCATAAGCCAGAGGATTTCTCCAGGAGAAGACATCTGAATTCCAGGGGTGCTTCATCTTTGACCTTGGTCTTAGTATCCCTGTGCTTCAACTTTGTCAGCTGTGCTGAGGCCCTTTTGAACTTGATTCTCTGATCAGGGGACCATATAACCTCATCTCTTGGCCACCAGCCTCTCCCTCTCCTGGTACCATGGACAGCGGCCTTCCTTTTACTCTGTGAGAATTCTGCCATGTAGGCCTTGGACGAAGCTGTGGGGCCCAGAACAAGTTTCTCTCCCTTGTTGCTGTGCAGTTTTCCTCCAGAAATGTACATATCTAATGTATGTATGATCATGTTCAGGCTGGCATTTAGTGTAAAAGGGGGCATGCAACACC